CACTGTTCCTTTCCCTGTGACACCTCTGCAGTGACAGCCCACATTTCCGCCTCTCTTTGACACCAGAGCAGTGACAGCCCCAGCGTTACCCTCTCTGTAACACTAGAGAATGACAGACCCAATTTCATCCCCTCTGTGACACCACAGCAGTGAGAACCCCAGTGTTCTCCTCTGTGTGACACCTCAGCAGTGACAGCCCAAACTTCCACCTCTCTGTGAAACCTCAGCAGTGATAGCCCCAGTGTTACCCTCTCTCTGATGCAAAAGAAGTGACAACCGCAATTTCATTTACTCTGTGACACCACAGCAGTCACAGCCCCACTCTTCCCCTCTCTGTTACGCCACAGAAGTGACCACTCCAAGACCCCTCTGTGACACCTGACCAGTTACAGCCTCAGTGTTCCCATCTCTGTGACACCTAACCAGTGACAGCCCAAATTTCCTCCTCTCTGTGAAACTTCAGCAGTGACAGCCCCAGTGTTCCCTTCTCTGTAACACCGAAGCCGAGCTCAAGCTCTCCCGATGAGCTGAGCCATCAGCTCCTGTGGCCGGGTGATACTTTTGGACCTTTGATGGCTCAAGAAAACCCACTCTATAATTAAGAGGGGATCCTTAGAGCCCTGGTCCCACTGAAAAATCAGCCCACCGAGGTGTGGCATTCTCCCGAGTATGATAAATTCAAAAGGCAGGGTTGGTTCGTACCGGTGCGCCTGTCTTTCGACAAGTGCATCCTCCACTTTCTCTAGGGCTTTCCTTGCCTCAGGGGTCAGGGTCCTGGGAGAACTCAGCTCCTTCTCCCCCTTCAAAAGTGTGAAGAGGGGGGCTAGGTCTTCCGTGGAGAGGCCCAGCCAAGGCCTGACCCAGTTCAAGGTCCCACACAGCAAGTGAAGGTCCACTAAGGTTTTCGGATTGCTGTTTATTGCCAATTTTTGAGGCACAGCGGTCCTCTCAGCAATCCGCAGACCCAGATACTTCCAGGGTGGTCCTCTCAGCAATCCGCAGACCCAGATACTTCCAGGGTGGCATCCGTTGAACTTTGTCCTCCTGGAGTTGAAAGCCTGCAGATGTTAAAACCTTAACCACTCGGTCAAGTGATCGGGTAAGTAGATCGTCATGGGGGCGCACACTAGGACATCATCCATATAGTGATGGATGATGACCTCCCCCATCTCTTTGCGCACGGGAGACAGCAACGAGGAGACGTTGCTGATGGCAGATGGTGGGTGAATTCTTCATGCCTTGTGGCAAAACCCGCCAGTGGAATCTCCTCATTGGGGCTTCTCGGTTGAGGGTTGGCACTGAGAAGGCAAACCGTGGGGCGTCATCAGGATGTAGGGGAATCTGAAAGAAGCAGTCCTTGATGTCAATTATGGCCAGATTCCAATTTCGGGGGAGTATAGTCGGGGTAGGCATCCCTGGTTGAAGGGGCCCCATGTCAACAATGATTTTGTTGATGGCACGAAGGTCATGGAGGAGTCGCCACTTGTCTTTCCCTGGCTTTCGGATAAAAAACACCGGGGAATTCCAAGGGCTGGTAGTCTCTACTATGTTACCCTTAAACAACTGCTCCTCCACGAGCTCGTTGAGTGCCCTTAATTTGTCTTTTCGAAGCGGCCACTGATCAATCCAGATTGCTTCATCAGTGGTCCAATCGAGCTTCTGGAAAGGGCGCTCCACAGTGGCCGCTATTAAAAATCCCAAGGGGTTTTCGGGATTTCAATCTTTACCCCCCATTGTGACATAAGGTCCCTCCCCCACAAGGGAACCTGAAAATCCACAACAAATGGGCATAAATTCGCCAATTGCCCATCCAGTCCCGTAGTTTGTACTAAGCTCTTTGATACCTGCGCCAATTGAGTACCCCCTATACCCTGAACTTTCCCCGCCACGGGTTGCAACTCCCAATGTGACGGCCATCTCCTTTGGGGGATGATCGTCACATCTGCCCCCGTATCAAGCAGACCCCTCAGGTTGACAGATTCCGCACCCTGCTTGATGCTGCAGTCAACGATGGGTTTATCTTCACCCACCACCTCTGCCCAGTAGACGCCTGGTGCATGGTCGTCCACTGGGACTCCCTCTGGGACAGGAATGTATTGAGCTATGATTTGCCCCTTTGGGAGAAAATATGGTGGGTGAATGCAGCGCGCTAAGAGGATGAGATCTTCCGGACCACCTGGGAAGGTGATCGGAGAGATCTCAATCTCTGGGGGTGTGTGTTTAGTGTCCCCGATGGCAATGTACTTACAGTCACGTCCAGTGTTCGTCCCGTCTCCCTCCGGTGGATCCACAGCAACTACTGTCCAGTGCTGGGTCCGAAAGAGGATGTCCCTAGTAGTTGTCAAATGTCGCGTCCAGTTTATTGGCCAAGTCCGATATAAAGAAGAGCCCCCCATCCCCTGCGAGACCTGCCCCATTTGTTGCTTTACGCGGGGCAGGTTCGCGCCGCTCCCCTAGTTTTTTTTTATTAGATTTTCTTTTGCCCTTGCCCCCTGATTGCTCCCTGGGCCAGGACGTGTGGCTGGACACTCCCTGGCTAAATGTCCTGGTTGCCCACAGTGATAACATTGCAATTGACGTGAAGGTGCTGGTGGAAACTGCGTTACAGCTGCAGTAGGCGTTCTCCTCGCTGGTGGCGGTTGGACGGCCCCGGACATCCCCACCATTGGGGCTTTCTTAGCGCAGGCTTCGATGAGGATGTCCAGCGTCGGTGTTGGATATAGTGGCAAACTGAAGATTATCTGTCTGCATGTGTCATTTGCGTTAGCTTTTGCTGCTTCCAACACAAATTGTTCTTGCCATTCTGGTTTCTCCACCTGCCTCAGCCTGGGCTTGTAACCTGTTAATGAACTTATTGAAAGGTTCATTGGGGAGCTGATTGATACTCATGATGTTTATTTGGGGTCCCTCCTCAGGCAATGAATTAAAAACCTTTTCGGCTACTTCCATGATCTTAGTTACCACAGGCCGGGGTAATACCCTGGCCTGCTCCTCGGGTTTGTCCCAGTCCCACTCACCGCACAAGTGCTCTATGGTCAGAGGGACTCTGTCTAAATCAGTAGCAGTGTCATTATTGCGCAAAAACGTTGGAAGAATGGTTTCCAATGACCTCTTCCACCCCTGTTTCCACAGCCTATAATCAGCCGAGGAAAGGAGGCAGGAAAACAATTCTTTCAGGTCATAGGGAACCATTTCATTCGCAGAGAAGGTAGCTTTGAGTAGACCTTTAAAATATTCACTACCCTTCCCGAACTCCTTCTGCACCTTGCACAATTCCCTCTTTGTTTGGAAGGAAAAGGCCTCCCATTCTTGGGATCAGCCTCCTCTTCCCCGAAAAGTGACTGGCGCTGCAAGGGGGATTTCTACCCGTTCTGGGTTCTGGCTTCCAGGCCTACCCCCCACCCTTTCCCAGGCATGGGAACCGGATGTTGAAGCGTGGGAACCAGAAGGGGGAGCGTGGGAACCAGGAGCCGGAAGGGGCGAGACTGGAGGACTGCCTGAGGAGGAGGGCAAGAGGGAGGAGCGACAATCGGAGGAGGCGAGGTTCAGTTGGGTGACATCAGCAGGGCACGCCCCCGAGGAGGAGGAAACTCTCGAACAGGGCTGGGTGGAGTCCGGGAAGGAGGAGGGGAAATTAGGGAGGAAGGGGTTGTTCATTGAGGGACGAAAGGGATTATGGGGAGAAGGAGCACAAAGGAAGGTCCCAGCCATGTGGTCCCCTCCATCTTGTGCCCTCCGGGAGCCATTTTGAGGGTTAGGAGAGGGGTCGGAGAACATAGGGGAACATTGGAGACTGGGGGAAACTGAGGCATGGGGGTCTGAAGGTGAAAACTGGGAACTTGTAACCTGGGAAACGTTTAATTGAGGGTTGACAACTGGGGAAACAGAGGAATGGGAAGGCACTCTGGCAGCTTGGCCAGGGCTGCCAGGGCAAGGGTTCTGGGAGAGATGTGGGGAGACAGGGATCCTGTTACCCTTGGGGGATCCCTGAACAGGACAACCTGCCCTGCAGGTCGCTCCGCAGGTCTCCCTCAACTCGGGATCAGGGGGAGAGGAACATGGGGATGGGGAAACTGGGGAAACTGGGAAATTTTGTGGCGGCTGCTCCTGCATTTTCTTTTCCTCTATAACAGCAGACCGAATCAAGATAAATAACGTTACAAATTTTTCAACCTAATTATCACCTCCATTTACTATCTCCGTCAATTTTGATCCAACCGCATTCCAGAATTCTACGGAATTTGCTTTGTCTGGGGTCACATTGGGGAAATGCAGGAACAGCCATCTCACAAACCTCTTTACCCTCCCACGAGAAAACTTCCTATTCCCCCCCTCAAGGGTACCCACAACTTGGTAAAAGACTCTCTTTTGCTGTGCCGAAAGACGTGCTCCCATCCTGTCAGCCCTGGCACAGCAATCCCACCGCCCCCTGCAACTAAACGACAACTCAACGAACTAAAAATATGGGTCCGGACCGGGCTACACACACACACACTCCCTCCCCGAGGGAGTTTCTACACACTGGGCGCCCCCTCATCCCACACACGGGGACAACTCACCCAAGTCCGGACGATTGTTGCAGGTGACGTCCACACCTCTCAAGGCGACCGTTGGCACATTCGATGGCTGCTGCCTCGACCTCTGGGAGCGCAACTCGGCAAAAATGAGTCTGCTTCTACCAGAGTAGCTGCCGCTCACAGTCTTTGTAAAATCCACTTAGGTTTGTAGATCCACCGACCTCTCCGGGGGTCTCCACGCCTCATGAGAGGCCCCACGTTGGGCGCCAGCTGTCGCTGCCCACTCAGCCCTTCACACCCCAGCTAGCTCATGCCAAGCGTCAGTGGCAGGAGTGGGGAACCAGGTGAGCACTGTGTGGCTCGACCTGGAACCTCTAGAGCTCCTCTGGGCTCGGGCTCTATGGTACGCAGGGCGACACGAGGTGTGGTAAAGGGAGAGAGAGTGCTCGGAGTCCTCCAATTTCCCAGGAACAAGTTTATTCCAGCAGGTGCAGGGAGAAGGTGACGAGGGACAGGGCTGGGATCACAAGGAGAAGGTCCGAGCCGAGACCCTGGGCACCTCTGTGCGCCAGGTTTTAAAGCCCGTGGGCGGCTCATACAACAACCAATAGGATGGCAGCAGTGGAGGTGTTGTGGGAAGGGGTTACAATACACAGATCCAATGGTAGGGACCCGGGGGAGGGAGGACAATTGTACAACCAATAGGGCATCAAGTAAGGGGTGATGAACAGGGAAGGAACCAGAACAAAAGGTGTGGTGTACATAGATTGATAGGGCTTGGGGGCAGGACCAAAGTGATGGATGGGGAACAATCTGGAAAGAAGGGAGGGGTTTACAATGACAGGCAACTGGGGACAAACCATATCGGGATAGCGGGGGAGTAACTGGGGCAGACCAACTTTAAACTCAACGAAAGTGAACAAGCAGACTTAATGAAAGTGAACTAACAGGTGGCAACAAGAAAATCCCAAGACAAGGAGAAAAAGTCGATTTACTTGCACAGTTTTAACCAAGGTTTCAAGAACAGTCCAACAATATTTGGAAACCAGCTAACAAAGTAATTAGAGGATTGGAAAAGACAGTGATAGTAAAAGATTTTAAAATCATAGAAAATTTTGGCTTGGCAAGCCCTGGGAAAAGTGTTAGAAGTAGGCCCTGGGAAACTGCACCTGTGTAGTCAGTATATGATAAATGATATCATTGTTAGATGTGATTAGATCTAATTATTGTTTAAAGAATCATGAGAAACTATGTTAGGGGGTGTTAGGGGGTTGAGGGGTGATCACGAGAAATCCATGCTTGGGTAAAATCAATGCCCACAATAGAACGATGTAAGTTAAATAATTAATATGTAAGTTATATAACGATAGAGTATAAAAACATGTTCAGCTCAAAACCATGTTGGGTCAGACTTGGGTCTGTGTACCCCTGATGCCCAGAGCTCTTCAATAAAAGCACCTGCATATAATCATTTCGTGATTGTGTGTTCCTGAATGCTATCAACAGGATCCAGAAGGAGTTATTCTTCAATATGTGGATGACATCTTGATTGAGGCTGGAACCAGAGATGACTGTATATGACTTACCATAAGTTTATTAACTTCTTGGGACTAAAGGCACAAATTGCTAAAGAATCAGTAGTTTACTTGGGGGTTGAGATCTTCCGTGGACACCAACATCTCAGCAAAGAACAGAAAGAAGCCATCTGTCAAGTCCCAGAGCCCCATACCATAATAAAGATGCAACTTTTCCTGGGAATGGTAAGTTGGTGTCTTTTGTAGATAGCAAATTATGGACTGCTGGTAAAACCCTTATATGGAGCACTAAAAGCAGCCAAGAGAGGAATTATCATATGGATTGAAAACACCAGAGCAGCTTTTAAACAGCTGAAGCACTTTCTAAAAATATCAGCTCCAGCAGTGGGACTGCCAATCTTAACTAAACCTTTTGAACTTTTCACATATGAGAGACTGAATGTGGCTTTGGGGATATTAGCACAGAGCCTCAGGAACCAACAGAGGGCTGTGGCTTACTTTTCTGAACAGCTAGACAATATTGGGCCAAGGCTGGCCAGGATGCCTGAAGGCTGTGGCAGCCACTGTCATCTTGATCCACGAAGCCTGAAAACTCACCCTTGGGCAACACATTGTAGTGTATATACCCCATGCAGTAGCAGCTGGAACAAAAGTGGTGGGGCATTGGTTATCTGGTAACTGGATGTTTAAATATCAAGCACTGTTATTAGAGCAGGTTGATGTTACCATGAAAATAACTTCTGTTGTTAACCCCTGCCATGTTTTTGTCCCCCAACTTAATTGACAATGAGCATGAATATGACTATTTACAGACTATTGAAAAGATTTATTCTAGCCAGACAGGCCTGAAGGACGTGCCCTTGGAAAATTGAGATTGGGAGCTTTTTACAGATGGGAACAGCTTAATGAAAAATGGCAAAAGGATGATGGGCTATGCAGTGACCACACAGGACAAGGTGACAGAGGAAAAGGCCCTGCCAGCAGATGTGTCATCACAGAAAGCTGAACTGATTGCACTAACAAGAGCCCTAGACCTGAGCAAAGGAAAGAAGGTTGTAGGAGTCTGGGCTGCATTAGAACAAATTTGACTGTAAAGAGAAACAATTAAGAACACGGGCAAGGTTATCATACAGGGAAGGAACAAGTCATGGTCAGCAGAAGAACACTAAGTAAGAGTTAAACAGGATGAGAAATATAGAAGTTGAACAAGTTGTGGTCTGATATACGCAAATGTAATTATGCAATAAAAATGCTTATAAGGGCATGTGAACAACACATGCATCCAATTGTAGAAGAGATACTCGTGTGTATAGATTTGTATACAGTATAAATGTAACCAAACTTAGAGAATAAACAAACTATCTGATCATCATGTTGGTGCTGTGTCGTTCCTGTTCCCGCATGAAGAAATGAAAGCCCCGGCAGAAGGTAAATATAGAGACTAATTCTAAATATGCATTTAGTGTTGTGGAGCCCATGGAGCCATCCATGGAAGGAGAGAAGACTTCTGAAGGCTCAAGGTAATCAAATCAAACATGCTGAAAAAATTCTTGCCCTCTTAGAAAGCATTAAAAAACCCGCAGAAGTAGCTATCATGCCTTGTAGAAGTCACCAAAAAGAGAAAACCCCTCCAGAGCTGAGAAACTGCTTTGCTGATAAAGTAGCAAGAAGGATTGCAGAAAAATGTACTCTCACAGTAATTCCACAAAACAAGATTGATTTGTCCGGGTTCACCCCAGAATATGACCAAGCAGAACATAAACTAATTAAATTTCTTAAAGCTGAGATCACAGAAAGTGGATGGGCTGTTACATCAGCAAACCAGGTTGTAGTCCTACCCCTGATCCTTCAGGAGGTAGCTCAAAGAGAACATGAAAACACGTATTTCAGGGTTGAAAATCTTCTGAAACGTAAAAAAGGTAGCAATAGGAATGACTGACATTGTACAATCTGTAGTTAGCAAATGTAAAATCTGCTGTAAAAACAACGCTGACATAAGAAAAAGAGCTGTGTTAGGAGTAACAAAAGCAGAGGATCTTCCTGGAGATTACTGGCAAATAGATTTTGCAGAGTTACCGTGCAAAGAGGGTGTAGGAAATTTTAACAGAGCAAGAGCACGAAATTTTAGCCAAAGCCTGTCTGCATAACCCAGCTCTCAATCCAGGCAACAGTTCTAAGGGCAGTGTCCTTGAAACACCTCAGCCACCAGCCCAGGATCTCTGCTCATCCCTGCTGTTCCAGCCGACTGTTCCTCAGAGCCGTACAGGAGCACTGGGACTGACAGCCCAAGGGGTTTGTGAAGCAAAGCCTCTCCTCCATCCCTTCCCGTCCCGGCTGAGAAAGCTGTCACGGGGTCCCTGGTTCTGTTTTCTTGCTGTTTTCTTGCAGTAGTTATTGTTGTTTGTTTGCCTTGCTATAAATATTAGTAAAGACCTGTTGTTCCTATCCCCAGATCTCTGCCTGAGATCCCCTTGATTTCAGGATTATCATAATTTGGAGGGAGAGGGTCTACATT